AGAGAGACACAGAGAGACACAGAGAGACACAGAGAGACACAGAGAGACACAGAGAGACCGACACAGAGAGACACAGAGAGACACAGAGAGACACAGGGAGACGCAGAGAGACGCAGAGAGACGCAGAGAGAGACGCAGAGAGACGCAGAGAGAGACGCAGAGAGAGACACAGAGAGACACACAGAGAGACACACAGAGAGACACACAGAGAGACACACAGAGAGACACAGAGAGACACAGAGAGACACAGAGAGACACACAGAGAGACACAGAGAGACACACAGAGAGACACACAGAGAGACCAGAGAGACACAGAGAGACACAGAGAGACACAGAGAGACACAGAGAGACACACAGAGAGACACAGAGAGACACAGAGAGACACAGAGAGACACAGAGAGACACAGAGAGAGACACAGAGAGAGACACAGAGAGAGACACAGAGAGAGACACAGAGAGACACAGAGAGAGACACAGAGAGAGACACAGAGAGAGACACAGAGAGAGACACAGAGAGAGAGAGAGACAGAGAGAGACAGAGAGAGACAGAGAGAGACAGAGAGAGACAGAGAGAGACAGAGAGAGACAGAGAGAGACAGAGAGAGACAGAGAGAGACAGAGAGACAGAGAGAGACAGACAGAGACAGACAGACAGACAGACAGACAGACAGACAGACAGACAGACAGACAGACAGACAGACAGACAGACAGACAGACAGACAGACAGACAGACAGACACACAGACAGACAGACACACACACACACACACACAGACAGACAGACAGACAGACAGACAGACAGACAGACAGACAGACAGACAGACAGACAGACAGACAGACAGACAGACAGACAGACAGACAGACAGACAGACAGACAGACAGACAGACAGACACACACACAGACACGCACAACACTACACTACACAACACAACACAACACTACACTTCACTACCCCCACAGCACAGCACACAACACTGCACACAACACGCTTCTCACACGACCACACACACACACTGCAGTACGCGCTACACACACACACACACACGCCCCTTCACACACTTCACATACTACACACCACACACTACACACTACACACCACAACACACAACAGACAACACACACTTCAACTCCCGCTACAGAGACTCGGGTGCGAGGGGAGGGGGATAGGACAACGCACAAGGTGAAAGCATGAGATCCCTTGCTTGGCTGAGTCGCCCTTCCTTTGCAGAGAAGCTCCCCTCAATCTGCTGGCAGCTATCAATTTTTAAGGTGTCTACTGCTCCGGTTTCCGGTTCCCCGCACAACAGCTGGCCGCCTTTCAGTGCAGTGAGTCTAGCGTAGCGTAGTGTACACACAATGCTTGTCCCAGCTTGCTATGGCCGTGTCTTCGTTGAGTATAAGCATGTTCTGCTTGATGGGACTTCAACATCCAGCAAATCCATACCATCCGCAGCAACCCTAGCGGCCAGAGGTCTTGGACATCATCTCCGATGCGCAGATGCCCGGCGAAGGAGGTGCCGAGTTTGGCGGCCGCAGTGTGGCCAGCTGGCTGGGATCTGTCCGATGACTCTGCTAGCAAGATGAGGTGAGCCACAATCAAAACCCGGGTAATTGGAGGTTAGACCATTTAGATTCTTTACGTGGTTCTTGGTAGACCATTTGAATTCCGGGTCAGGTGCTTATCACTGTCAGGCCCTTGCCAGCTCGCCACCCAGCTCTGCGCCGCAGTGGGCTAGGATTCGAGGAAAAAAGGAGCATGGGCGGGGTGGGGGTTAGATGCCGAGATGTCTAGGCAAAAGTATTAGTTAGGTGAACTCAGTTGCGAAACCAGAGTATCCATGCTGAGCGGAACTACCTTTTGGTGGTTTGTGAGGGATATTTGCGCGATCTTTGACAGCATGGTGCGGATGATTATGCAGCGGATGCACTGTGTGCACAATGCAAGAGAAAAAAACTTCTTCACAGAAGCTTTGGTACTCTGATCCAGTTTTGCCGAAACAAAGTCATAGAGTCAGATTGTTTGCTTGTACAGATTAGCGCAGATGTGATGTTTGCTGTACACCCAAAATCAGATCCCTTTACAGGCCCATCGTCAATTGTCCATGGAGGTGAGATTTCGTGGCGGATTGCATTTCTTTTGCAGGTCGGAATGAGGGTGATGGGCTGTCAGCTGATAGAGCTTTGTCCCAGAGGACCGCACATGGAGAGGTCTGAATCTAAGTCACAAGGCATCAGGCAAGCACCCGTGACAAGCGTACAGGCTGCAAAGGTGTGGCTCTATGGGACCAGATGTTGGGGCGCACGGCACAGGTTGGGGGTTGCAGCACCATTCAGCGGAGGATACTTAAGTTGGGGTTCGGCAAGTGCAAATGAACCGCCTGCAGCGCATCGCCGGCCATGTGAACTCGGGCACGGCGGGCCAGGAGCTCTACCTGGGCGCCCCGGCCGAAATGGAGGGGGGAGGGGGGTCAAATTTAGTGGCCCTCTGATATGTGCTTGAAAGGAACACACGGCGCCAGGGTCGAAAACACGCCCATACTTTTGACTCTGGGTGTATGTCAAATGTGAACGACTCAAGGCATTCCTTATCACCACAGGAACTCTCCGCATTTGTTCTGCCACGGATTTGAGAAGCCGAGCATCGTATAAGGTCATCGTTGTCGGCGCTCGTCCCGCGTTTCTGCTTTGTGAGGAGACAGCCCCAGAGCTTCTGTTGGCTACAGTCTTCAAAGAGGCTTGCAGGCTTGACAGGGCGGGAGCTCGGCCTTGAGAACCCCTTTGTTTACGTCTGCCTTGGGGGTCCTACTTATTTGCCACTTTCCACCCATTGAGAAAGAGAGGAAGACAGAGAGAGCGCAATTACCATGATCGCAGACTCGCGGGTTGAATGTTCTTTCCAGGCATCCCAAAATGCTTTGCAAAGCCCGCGTATGTTGTAAGGATAGAGGTGCTTCTCAAAAAGTAGCCCCCCTAAGAATGGCTTGTTTCCGCCTTGACACGTCCAACCAAACAAAGGGGGTGCACCATTTTCAGAACGCCCCCTCCCATATCTTGCGGCACTCACGCGCACGGCTTATGGAGCGCTCGGAGGTGGTGACCAGGACCAAGGTGAACCCCAAGGCCGGCCGGCGAGTCCTGAGCTTGGCCTCCATTTTTTCCTTGGCCTTGTCCCCAAGAAAGCTAGGACTCATTCTTATGGGTCTGAAACTATTCCCCCCCCCCCAATACAAAGCAGACGCAACACACTCAGAGGCTTCCTTTTGTTCCAACAGATGAACCGACGAGCCGGGCCTGGGCACTTCTGACCCATTGCCGTCTTCCACATTGAATGATCTCAAGGTGTTGAGTACCTTACATTGCTCTAGCATTTGCAGTCAGCTGAAGAACTCTGAAGCCAAAAGGCAAGGGTTGGCCTGAAAACCGCAACCACACCCCTTATGAGAAGGTCTAGGTCATCTCCAACAAACTGCAGTCTTCGAATAAAGCCAATTTTGAGGAGCGCCTTTTTTAGGATGAAGCCGTTGCAAAACGTCATTTGCTACTGAAGTCTGGTCGAGCGCGGAGGCTTCACATAGGCTTTGTTCATGGATGCTTTTAGTTTGCAGCTCGTTCAGTGTTGAAGGCACTCACAACTTGCAAGACTTTTTTGACTCGCAGGCATGGTGTTGACATGTGCCACGGTTGTTTCTTGGCAGTACCCTACCTTTTGGCTTGATTACTTTCAGAGTTTAGATGTGCTTATGCTTCCCACGAGAAGTCGAGCTTTTAGCAAGGGATCAACGAGCCACTATGGTGTGTCTCCTTTATGGGGTGTTAAGTTGTGGCTTTTTATGCATGTCTGCGGCGGCGCAAGAGTCGTCCAGCTCTTTTCCATAGACACAGAATCCCCGAATGTTGAAACGGCAGCTGGGCCGCAGTTTCCCTGCAAGCCCAGGCAAGGCGAAGGCAAGCTTCCTATACTCATAGGCAGTCTGAGTGCGGTGTAGGCGATGCTCAGCCTTCGTAGGGAGAATTACAGTATGGCCTGCAAGCAGGACATCGGCGACATTCAGATTGGCAACGTGCTGCAGCCCGGTGCCAGCGGCCTGACGTCCCGTTCTTCGGCTGGAGATTTGGCCTTGCTTGGATTGCCTGGAATTTAGCAATTGATAACCTGCAGGTAATGTTAACCGAGTTAACCTTCACCTCCCGTTCACCCCCAATAACCCGCCTTGAAAGCCTTTGTTCTACGCTCGGGAGATGCAACAGCAATATGTATTTGCACAGAGAACGATTTGCCCTGCAGAACCAGCGCGAGGTGATGATTTTCTTTAGCTGGGGAACCCTTGCCATCCGACTTTTGTGAGCAACTGACAAAGAAAGGTTACTTTTGACAAGGGGAGGCCACCCAAATTTCCCGCGGTAGCTTGGGCCCCATGTCCTTTGGGGCATTCCATACTTTGGTTGGTGCATTTTGCCAAGGGATGTTAGGACTTCAACTTTTTGCCAACTAATGGGTTTTCCATTGAACAACCAAATGTTAAACTTTGAGCAGAGCAGAAAGCAACTGAGCTTCGAGAGTTGGCCCGCAGGCATGGGCCAGTTCATCGCGGAGCTGCCCTATGACATCCCGCTGAGCACGGTGAACCGGCAGTGCAGCAGCAGCTTGCAGGCCACCGCCAACATCGCAGCCTTCATCAAGGCGGATCTTTTGGGCACCGCAAAAGGGGACCCAAAATACGTTGAAACACGTCTGGGTCGAAAAGTGAGTGCGTTTCCTGCTGTTTTCCTGGAGCGAAAATTCGACCGGGAGCAACCCCTGTGAAATCCGGAAAGCAAGTAGCAGTGCCCATGTCGAGGGCTCACTGCACTTCCACTCGCACCATTGATTTGTGGTTGCGGCCCATCCTGGCACCTCCCGTAGCTACTTTGGCTTGCAGCCATAGATTGCCTCCAAAGCACTAGCAACTTAGTACGGACGCTTCTCGACTGTCTCGCGTTAGGTTTCTCCGCAGCGAGCCATGACACTCGCCATGAAAGTTCGGCTTCTCTTTGCCTTGTTGGCATGGTCTGCTGTGACGATGGTTGGCCTGGTGCTGTTGGACTTCTATCCGTCAGCCGTGCAAGTGTTGCTGGTGGCGGGAAATGCCTTGGTCGCGTTGGTGACCTTTTTCCTGAGCTTTCGCCAGCTTCCAGCAACACCAACGCCCGAACCACTCCTCCATTGGAATCCAGAACTTCCTCGTCGTGGAATGGGCGACCTCATCCGCAGTGTGAACCACATCGCCATCATTGTGTCAGATGTAGGCCGGTCCCTCGCATTCTACACGGAGATCATTGGATTTCAACAAATCCAAAGGCCTAACTTTGACCGCCACGGTGCGTGGCTGACCATGGGAAACCTTGAGCTGCACTTGATCAAAGGAGTGTCAAATGCCCCAAGTGGTCGGGATCTGATTGTCTCGCACATCGCACTTGAGACAGATCATCCGGAGAAGGTCTTGGAGAAGCTCTTGGAGTTTGAGGTGCCCTTCAGGCAGAATATCTCGGTTCCAGATCCCAAGAAAGCCAGAGACAACTTGGTGGAAGCTTTTGAGAACAGTGAAGGCAAGATCACGCAGTACTTTGTCCGGGATCCTGATGGCTACTACCTTGAGCTTTGCAACTGTGACGTCCTTACAGCTTTCTGCCTCTTCAAGGAGACCGCAAAGGTTGGCCACACCCCGAAGTACATGCAGCTCATGGATGCCATGCTTCGCACTTACAATGAGTCCGGTCAAATGAAAGCATCGCCGTTCCGCTTTCCTCAGCTAGCCAAGACAGCCTTGGTTGTACATCGGCTTGTGCGCAAAGTGCGTGCTGAGTTGTGCAAAAGCTTCGAAGAGCGCGTGAACACTGCACTCAACGGCGTCGAGGCCGCAGCTGAACCAGACCCGAAGATGCTCGCACGCTTCTTGGCCCGACAGAAGACCTACTGTGACATTTGCCAGGGGTTTTCAGATGAGGCTTTGGCTGCAGCCCTTTGCAAAAGTGCAAATCATGCTCCAACTGCTTTGTTGCTACTTTCAGCTAGCCGGGCAGATGTGCGCATCTGGATGCCGCCGGTGTACTTTCTGAGCGAGGGAGGTCGGATCCAACAGCAGGTCATGGCTGTTGCGGCACCCCCGCGCAGGAACTTCGGCTCGTGCAGCGTGTTTGCCTCCAAGCCTTTTGAGGATGCCAACGGCAGGAGCTTGCGCCAGAATGTGGGCGACTTGTTGACAGGATTTTCAGCAGGTCGCCTGGTCGAGGCCACGAACTCATGCAAAGGCAGAAACTCAATTCGCGGCATGCTGTCGCTGGGCTTTGAGAACGACCCAGTGATGCAGGACTACCTTCGGAAGAGCTCCAGGTTTTCCTGCCATCAGACTCAAGAGACTGAGATTTGCGTCTAGGAAGTGTAGCTCAAGTGCAAAGCAATATGAGCCACAATGAGAACCCGGGTAGATGAAGGTTTGTAAGGGATAGTCCCAACCATAAATGGGTGTAGCCGCCTGCATAATTCTTTACATGGTTCTGGGTAGACTTTGTCATGCCAGGTTTTGATTATGACTCATATGCACAGCATGGATGGCTTTGGTGCAGTAAGTCTTGGTGAATCCTATTTGTAGCCAGTCTTTCCGGATGCCAAGCAGTTCCAGCTGTCGTGCACGTCGCGCACAGCTCTTCCCCAGTGGCGTTGCTACGCCCCAAACCTTTGCGTGCGCGCGCTCGCAGTTTCAGCTCAATTAGACCACCGCTGTGTCCAGTGTCACACGCAGCTTTTCCCCTAGGGGTCTGGTGGCCTCAGATTCTGGCCACCGGCCTCTGGATGCCAAGTTCCCAGCTTACGCACGTAGCTGAAGCTGATCGGCGATCAGAGCCTAAAGACGCCCTGGCGTTGTGCTTGCTCACCGCATGCAGGCGGACACTCGAGAGCAACACGCAGAGCAACACGCGCCGTTTTCTCGTCTCGCGGTTTGCCCCGGAGCTGCATGCCGCATGCCTGAGGTGGGCTTCATTGACGTGGGCTTGGCCGGCGGCGTCGAAAATATGAGCATGCGACTTGTCACAGGCATCAAATGCATCACGTCAACACATAGAGGGCCACAAAAGGGAAGCAAACCCCAGCTGAGGTTCCCGATGATGGCTACGATTGACATCACCAAGCTCTCTGCCAAGATCCTTGACTATGAAAACGCGGAGGCTAGGGGACTTCGAGTGTGCCGGGGTCGGAGGTGGTTTTCCTTGTGGTGTCACGCTTCTGATCCCTCCTTTTGAGCAACCCAGCCAGTTCGGACGTTTCAATCAATGGGGCTGCAAAGACAAGCTAGAAATCAAAGTGGCAGCACCACCCAAGTTCAACCAACTGGGTTCTTATGGGTTGACGAGTTGCACACGATCTCCATGGAGAAGTGGCAGTGTTCGTCAATTCGAGCAGTTGCAGGGCGATTGTCAGGCAATCAATGCGTGAGGCAAGCGCAAAGGCCTGGTGCTGCGGCTGCAGGTTTCTCTGAGAGTTGTTTCTGAAGATTGGTGACTGGACTGTTTTTGAGGCTGCTGAAGGGTCAATGCCCGTGCCGCAACATGTTTGAGCTGTGTCAGGCTGATGCCGGCAAGGGCGGCTTGCAGATCAGGCTTGAGAGACTGGGAGCGTGAATATCCAACAACTTGGGACTGCCTCTTGCAAGAGCCGTTTACAAGCAATTGCCTGCTTGCAACGCGTTTGCTTTTCGTCAGTAGCGGTTTCCGATGGACGACACTTCCAGCATGCCACGACATATCTTTGCGCTTGTCACACTGCCTTTTTTAGGATGAAGCCGTTGCAAAACGTCATTTGCTACTGAAGCCTGGTCGAGCGCGGATGCTTCATAGGCTTTGTTCATGGATGCTTTTTGTTTGCAGCTCGTTCAGTGTTGAAGGCGCTCACAACTTGCAAAACTTTTTTGACTCGCAGGCATGGTGTTGACCTGTGCCACGGTTGTTTCTTGGCAGTACCCTACTGTTTGGCTTGATTACTTTCAGAGTTTAGATGTGCTTATGCTTCCCACGAGAAGTCGAGCTTTTAGCAAGGGATCAACGAGCCGTGCTAAGTTGTGGCTTTAAGCATGTCTGAGGCGGCGCAAGAGTCATCCAGCTCTTTTCCATAGACACAGAATCCCTGAATGTTGAAACGGCAGCTGGGATGCAGTTTCCCCGCAAGCCCAGGCAAGGCGAAGGCAAACTTCCTATACTCATAGGCAGTCTGAGTGCGGTGTAGGCGATGCTCAGCCTTCGTGTAGGGAGAATTACAGTATGGCCTGCAAGCAGGACATCGGCGACATTCAGATTGGCAACGTGCTGCAGCCCGGTGCCAGCGGCCTGACGTCCCGTTCTTCGGCTGGAGATTTGGCCTTGCTTGGATTGCCTGGAATTTAGCAATTGATAACCTGCAGGTAATGTTAACCGAGTTAACCTTCACCTCCCGTTCACCCCCAATAACCCGCCTTGAAAGCCTTTGTTCTACGCTCGGGAGATGCAACAGCAATATGTATTTGCACAGAGAACGATTTGCCCTGCAGAACCAGCGCGAGGTGATGATTTTCTTTAGCTGGGGAACCCTTGCCATCCGACTTTTGTGAGCAACTGACAAAGAAAGGTTACTTTTGACAAGGGGAGGCCACCCAAATTTCCCGCGGTAGCTTGGGCCCCATGTCCTTTGGGGCATTCCATACTTTGGTTGGTGCATTTTGCCAAGGGATGTTAGGACTTCAACTTTTTGCCAACTAATGGGTTTTCCATTGAACAACCAAATGTTAAACTTTGAGCAGAGCAGAAAGCAACTGAGCTTCGAGAGTTGGCCCGCAGGCATGGGCCAGTTCATCGCGGAGCTGCCCTATGACATCCCGCTGAGCACGGTGAACCGGCAGTGCAGCAGCAGCTTGCAGGCCACCGCCAACATCGCAGCCTTCATCAAGGCGGATCTTTTGGGCACCGCAAAAGGGGACCCAAAATACGTTGAAACACGTCTGGGTCGAAAAGTGAGTGCGTTTCCTGCTGTTTTCCTGGAGCGAAAATTCGACCGGGAGCAACCCCTGTGAAATCCGGAAAGCAAGTAGCAGTGCCCATGTCGAGGGCTCACTGCACTTCCACTCGCACCATTGATTTGTGGTTGCGGCCCATCCTGGCACCTCCCGTAGCTACTTTGGCTTGCAGCCATAGATTGCCTCCAAAGCACTAGCAACTTAGTACGGACGCTTCTCGACTGTCTCGCGTTAGGTTTCTCCGCAGCGAGCCATGACACTCGCCATGAAAGTTCGGCTTCTCTTTGCCTTGTTGGCATGGTCTGCTGTGACGATGGTTGGCCTGGTGCTGTTGGACTTCTATCCGTCAGCCGTGCAAGTGTTGCTGGTGGCGGGAAATGCCTTGGTCGCGTTGGTGACCTTTTTCCTGAGCTTTCGCCAGCTTCCAGCAACACCAACGCCCGAACCACTCCTCCATTGGAATCCAGAACTTCCTCGTCGTGGAATGGGCGACCTCATCCGCAGTGTGAACCACATCGCCATCATTGTGTCAGATGTAGGCCGGTCCCTCGCATTCTACACGGAGATCATTGGATTTCAACAATTCCAAAGGCCTAACTTTGACCGCCACGGTGCGTGGCTGACCATGGGAAACCTTGAGCTGCACTTGATCAAAGGAGTGCCAAATGCCCCAAGTGGTCGGGATCTGATTGTCTCGCACATCGCACTTGAGACAGATCATCCGGAGAAGGTCTTGGAGAAGCTCTTGGAATTTGAGGTGCCCTTCAGGCAGAATATCTCAGTCCCAGATCCCAAGAAAGCCAGAGACAACTTGGTGGAAGCTTTTGAGAACAGTGAAGGCAAGATCACGCAGTACTTTGTCCGGGATCCTGATGGCTACTACCTTGAGCTTTGCAACTGTGACGTCCTTACAGCTTTCTGCCTCTTCAAGGAGACCGCAAAGGTTGGCCACACCCCGAAGTACATGCAGCTCATGGATGCCATGCTTCGCACTTACAATGAGTCCGGTCAAATGAAAGCATCGCCGTTCCGCTTTCCTCAGCTAGCCAAGACAGCCTTGGTTGTACATCGGCTTGTGCGCAAAGTGCGTGCTGAGTTGTGCAAAAGCTTCGAAGAGCGCGTGAACACTGCACTCAACGGCGTCGAGGCCGCAGCTGAACCAGACCCGAAGATGCTCGCACGCTTCTTGGCCCGACAGAAGACCTACTGTGACATTTGCCAGGGGTTTTCAGATGAGGCTTTGGCTGCAGCCCTTTGCAAAAGTGCAAATCATGCTCCAACTGCTTTGTTGCTACTTTCAGCTAGCCGGGCAGATGTGCGCATTTGGATGCCGCCGGTGTACTTTCTGAGCGAGGGAGGTCGGATCCAACAGCAGGTCATGGCTGTTGCGGCACCCCCGCGCAGGAACTTCGGCTCGTGCAGCGTGTTTGCCTCCAAGCCTTTTGAGGATGCCAACGGCAGGAGCTTGCGCCAGAGTGTGGGCGACTTGTTGACAGGATTTTCAGCAGGTCGCCCGGTCGAGGCCACGAACTCATGCAAAGGCCGAAACTCAATTCGCGGCATGCTGTCGCTGGGCTTTGAGAACGACCCAGTGATGCAGGACTACCTTCGGAAGAGCTCCAGGTTTTCCTGCCATCAGACTCAAGAGACTGAGATTTGCGTCTAGGAAGTGTAGCTCAAGTGCAAAGCAATATGAGCCACAATGAGAACCCGGGTAGATGAAGGTTTGTAAGGGATAGTCCCAACCATAAATGGGTGTAGCCGCCTGCATAATTCTTTACATGGTTCTGGGTAGACTTTGTCATGCCAGGTTTTGATTATGACTCATATGCACAGCATGGATGGCTTTGGTGCAGTAAGTCTTGGTGAATCCTATTTGTAGCCAGTCTTTCCGGATGCCAAGCAGTTCCAGCTGTCGTGCACGTCGCGCACAGCTCTTCCCCAGTGGCGTTGCTACGCCCCAAACCTTTGCGTGCGCGCGCTCGCAGTTTCAGCTCAATTAGACCACCGCTGTGTCCAGTGTCACACGCAGCTTTTCCCCTAGGGGTCTGGTGGCCTCAGATTCTGGCCACCGGCCTCTGGATGCCAAGTTCCCAGCTTACGCACGTAGCTGAAGCTGATCGGCGATCAGAGCCTAAAGACGCCCTGGCGTTGTGCTTGCTCACCGCATGCAGGCGGACACTCGAGAGCAACACGCAGAGCAACACGCGCCGTTTTCTCGTCTCGCGGTTTGCCCCGGAGCTGCATGCCGCATGCCTGAGGTGGGCTTCATTGACGTGGGCTTGGCCGGCGGCGTCGAAAATATGAGCATGCGACTTGTCACAGGCATCAAATGCATCACGTCAACACATAGAGGGCCACAAAAGGGAAGCAAACCCCAGCTGAGGTTCCCGATGATGGCTACGATTGACATCACCAAGCTCTCTGCCAAGATCCTTGACTATGAAAACGCGGAGGCTAGGGGACTTCGAGTGTGCCGGGGTCGGAGGTGGTTTTCCTTGTGGTGTCACGCTTCTGATCCCTCCTTTTGAGCAACCCAGCCAGTTCGGACGTTTCAATCAATGGGGCTGCAAAGACAAGCTAGAAATCAAAGTGGCAGCACCACCCAAGTTCAACCAACTGGGTTCTTATGGGTTGACGAGTTGCACACGATCTCCATGGAGAAGTGGCAGTGTTCGTCAATTCGAGCAATTGCAGGGCGATTGTCAGGCAATCAATGCGTGAGGCAAGCGCAAAGGCCTGGTGCTGCGGCTGCAGGTTTCTCTGAGAGTTGTTTCTGAAGATTGGTGACTGGACTGTTTTTGAGGCTGCTGAAGGGTCAATGCCCGTGCCGCAACATGTTTGAGCTGTGTCAGGCTGATGCCGGCAAGGGCGGCTTGCAGATCAGGCTTGAGAGACTGGGAGCGTGAATATCCAACAACTTGGGACTGCCACTTGCAAGAGCCGTTTACAAGCAATTGCCTGCTTGCAACGCGTTTGCTTTTCGTCAGTAGCGGTTTCCGATGGACGACACTTCCAGCATGCCACGACATATCTTTGCGCTTGTCACACTGCCCCGTAGTTTAGCACTCCCCCCCAACCTGGACTTTGTGCTTCTGGGCGTCGCTTCACTTCCCAGGTCAACAAAACAGAGCGCATTATCCTAGGCCATGATCCCATATCCGTAACGAAGTGCATCTCAGGTGTACAGGTTAGCAAGCATTGACGTCAGCATCGTATCGCCGCCCGCTCAGACGCCCCAAAGTCATCTTTGGCGGGTTAGTCGAAGATTTGCTGCACCCAACATGTTTCTGTTTTTGACGACAATGGAGCAACAGATTGTTGGGATGCGTTAGGCAGTGTCAGATCCGTGATTCCAGCCCTGCAGATGGACGAAGTCCGCTTGACACCAGCTAGGATGGATGAGTTGCAGTATGAGTATGGGGATCTCCTACGAGCAAATGGGATACCATATTACAACAAAGTTGACAAACGGGAGCAGCTGCCGAACCCAACGAGTCCAGCCTTGTGACGTGGCAGGCATCCAGCTCTGAGCCCGGCGTGCCCGACTTAGCTTCGGACGGTCCCGCTGGATTAATTTTGGACTCATAGGCCCCTAATGTTTGTCACCACGCTTAAAAATATGAGTAGTTAAACTAACAAAATGAAATCTGAAAGACAGCTGCCGAGCCCGATTCGCCAGAGGTAAGAACCAGTAGTTCTTTCCAATGAGCTGAGCCAGACGGGGTTTCTACAGGCAATGCCATCGGAACTCACCATCTTCATGCAGGCTGGGAGAGAGAAGCCGGATCAGTTTCTGAAGTGCACCGCCCTGTCAACAATTCCACCATGTGTGCTTTGGAATGGCTCGGCGAGTCTCGCATCGTGTTTGCTTAGCCCGGGGCCCAAGCCCTCAGTCTTTGATCCAGGACCTCAACGGGTACCGTGTTCACTCGATCAATTCGTCTTTTGGGCAGACTGCTTCCGGTTTTGGTCGAAGCGGCCCACCGTGCCAGACAGCGCTGAAGCGAAGCCTACGAGCCTGAGGTGTCGCGCGGCTGGTTGCTGTACCTTAGGAGCTTAGGAGGAGCTCAGTGCAGCGCGGAGGCGGACACCGGCTGTCAGTTTTCTTTCACCCTTTGGCAGGCCGACGGAGGGATATTTGCACGATCTTTGGCAGCATGGTGCGGATGATTATGCAGCGGATGCACTGTGTGCACAATGCACGAAAATAAATCTTCTTCACAGAAGCTTTGGTACTCTGATCCAGTTTTGCCGAAACAAAGTCATAGAGTCAGATTGTTTGTTTGTATAGATTAGCGCAGATGTGATGTTTGCTGTACAACCCAAAATCAGATCCCTTTACAGGCCCATCGTCAATTGACCAGTACCGCCATCATACAGTGAATCAGCAGTGGACAAATGGATACATCAAGGATGCTTCATGACTTCCTATGGAGGTGAGATTCCGTGGCGGATTGCATTTCTTTTGCAGGTCGGAATGAGGGTGATGGGCTGTCAGCTGATAGAGCTTTGTCCCAGAGGACCGCACATGGAGAGGTCTGAATCTAAGGTGCAAGGCATCAGGCAAGCCACCAGCACCCGTGACAGGCGTGACAGGCTGCAAAGGTGTGGCTCTATGGGACCAGTTCGGGCGCACGGCACAGGTTGGGGGTTGCAGCATTCAGCGGAGGATACTTAAGTTGGGCTTTGCAAGTCAATCGTTTCAGTCCTCCAGTCCTTCAACCCAGCTTGATCCTCTCGCCGTTCAGCCAACTTTCGCACTGCGCCGCAGTTGTTTCAGACTCAGTGAACGCCTTCCCGAGTCAGAGGGCAGAGAGCCATGAACCGCCTGCAGCGTATCGCCGGCCATGTGAACTCGGGCATGGCGGGCCAGGAGCTCTACCTGGGCGCCCCGGCCGAAATGGAGGGGGGAGGGGTCTCAAATTTAGTGGCCCTCTGATATGTTCTTAAAAGGAACACACGGCGCCAGGGTCGAAAACACGCCCCTATGTTGACAATGGGTGTATGTCAAATGTGAACGACTCGAGGCATTCCTTATCACCACAGGGACCTCCGCATTTTTCTCCCACGGATCGGCGTGAGGCTGAAGTGCCCGCTGCGACGCGTCGCTAAGGTGCCCAGCCCACGGCCGCCATTTGCAGCCCGGAGAAGTCTGAGGCAAGGGCTCGTTCGATGGGAATCCCTGGACAAAGCCGTTGATTTGGGTGTGGCTCAAAATTAAACCAACAGGGGACCGCAGAGCTCATTGAGGTCAACCATTAAGTATTCGAGAAGGCTTGCCGAACACACACACACATGCACAGAGAGAGGGATGATTTAGATTACTTTGTGAATCAGGCTGAGGCTGTTGCACTTGGCTAAGCTGCAGGTTTCAAAAATTACCTTGTGTCAGGAACCTGATGCTGTGAAAGCCTCGATTTGATCAGGGTCCCTTGCAAGACTCATACGTTAGGCCAGATAAACAAAGTCATCTCTACCAGATGATTTGTCCAGCATTCTATTTGAAAATCAGGTGGTCTTTGATGTATCCTAAAGGCAAACGCTTGTCCACGAGAGCGCACAGCGCCGGCCAGGATGATGTGGTGATCTGCTGCGCTGTGCGGACCCCGCTGTGCAAGGCGCGCGGTGCCTTTAAGGACTGCAACTTGGGCCTTGCGAGGTCGGAAGTCGGCTGCCGCCGTGACATCATTTTGGGGGCTGAGCTTTTCAACCAGCCGAACTGTCTGCCATCTTTGCCACCAAACGCGTGATACTTCGATGGCAAAGTGCAACACACTGCCAAACAGAAGTCAAGCACTGCAAGTCATCAAGTTGAGAAGCCGAGCATCGTATAAGGTCATCGGTGTCGGCGCTCGTCCCGCGTTTCTGCTTTGTGAGGAGACAGCCCCAGAGCTTCTGTTGGCTACAGTCTTCAAAGAGGCTTGCAGGGATGACAGGGCGGGCACTCGGCCTTGAGAACCCCTTTGTTTACGTCTGCCTTGGGGGTCCTACTTCTTTGCGACTTTCCACCCATTGAGAAAGAGAGGAAGACAGAGAGAGCGCAATTACCATGATCGCAGACTTGCGGGTTGAATGTTCTTTTCAGGCATCCCAGAATGCTTTGCAAAGCCCACGTATGTTGTAGAGGTGCTTCTCAAAAAGTAGCCCCCCTAAGAATGGCTTGTTTCCGCCTTGACACGTCCAACCAAACAAAGGGGGTGCACCATTTTCAGAACGCCCCCTCCCATATCTTGCGGCACTCACGCGCACGGCATATCGAGCGCTCGGAGGTGGTGGCCAGAACCAAGGTGAACCCCAAGGCCGGCCGGCGAGTCCTGAGCTTGGCCTTGTCCCCAAGAAAGCTACGGCTCATTCTTATGGGTCTGAACCCATTCCCCCCCCCAATAAAAAGCAGACGCAACACTCAGAGGCGTCCTTTTGTTCCAACAGATGAGCCGACGAGCCGGGCCTGGGCACTTCTGACCCATTGCCGTCTTCCACATTGAATGATCTCAAGGTGTTGAGTACCTTACATTGCTCTAGCATTTGCAGTCAGCTGCAGAACTCTGAAGCCGCAAGGCAAGGGTTGGCCTGAAAACCGCAACCACACCCCTTATGAGAAGGTCTAGGTAATCTCCAACAAACTGCAGTCTTCGAATAAAGCCAATTTTGAGGAGCGCCTTTTTTAGGATGAAGCCGATGCAAAGCGTCATTTGCTACTGAAGTCTGGTCGAGCGCGGAGGCTTCACATAGGCTTTGTTCATGGATGCTTTTTGTTTGCAGCTCGTTCAGTGTTGAAGGCGCTCACAACTTGCAAAACTTTTTTGACTCGCAGGCATGGTGTTGACCTGTGCCACGGTTGTTTCTTGGCAGTACCCTACTGTTTGGCTTGATTACTTTCAGAGTTTAGATGTGCTTATGCTTCCCAGAAAAAGTCGAGCTTTTAGCAAGGGATCAACGAGCCGTGTTAAGTTGTGGCTTTATGCATGTCTGCGGCGGCGCAAGAGTCATCCAGCTCTTTTCCATAGACACAGAATCCCTGAATGTTGAAACGGCAGCTGGGCCGCAGTTTCCCCGCAAGCCCAGGCAAGGCGCAGGCAAACTTCCTATACTCATAGGCAGTCTGAGTGCGGTGTAGGCGATGCTCAGCCTTCGTGTAGGGAGAATTACAGTATGGCCTGCAAGCAGGACATCGGCGACATTCAGATTGGCAACGTGCTGCAGCCCGGTGCCAGCGGCCTGACGTCCCGTTCTTCGGCTGGAGATTTGGCCTTGCTTGGATTGCCTGGAATTTGGCAATTGATAACCTGCAGGTAATGTTAACCGAGTTAACCTTCACCGCCCGTTCACCCACAATAACCCGCCTTAACCGTAGTTAACCTCAACCGCCCGTTCACCCCCAATAACTCGCCTTACGTGACAGCAATATGTATTTGCACAGAGAACGATTTGCCCTGCAGAACCAGCGCGAGGTGATGATTTTCTTTAGCTGGGGAACCCTTGCCATCCGACTTTTGTGAGCAACTGACAAAAACAGGTTACTTTTGACAAGGGGAGGCCACCCAAATTTCCCGCAGTAGCTTGGGCCCCATGTCCTTTGCCACCAAAGTTGCATGTGTCGACCGCTCAAAACCATTCCATACTTTCTTTGGTGCATTTTGCCAAGGGATGTTAGGACTTCAACTTTTTGCCAACTAATGGGCTTTCCATTGAACCAAATGTTAAACTTTGAGCCAAGCAGAAAGCAACTGAGCTTCGAGAGTTGGCCCGCAGGCATGGGCCAGTTCATCGCGGAGCTGCCCTATGACATCCCGCTGAGCACGGTGAACCGGCAGTGCAGCAGCAGCTTGCAGGCCACCGCCAACATCGCAGCCTTCATCAAGGCGGATCTTTTGGGCACCGCAAAAGGGGACCCAAAATACGTTGAAGCACGTCTGGGTAAAAAAATGAGTGCGTTTCCTGCTGTTTTCCTGGAGCGAAAATTCGACCGGGAGCAACCCCTGTGAAATCCGGCAAGCAAATAGCAGTGCCCATGTCGAGGGCTCACTGCACTTCCACTCGCACCATTGATTTGTGGTTGCGGCCCATCCTGGCACCTCCCGTAGCTACTTTGGCTTGCAGCCATAGATTGCCTCCAAAGCACTAGCAACTTAGTACGGACGCTTCTCGACTGTCTCGCGTTAGGTTTCTCCGCAGCGACACTCTCCATGAAAGTTCGGCTTCTCCTTGCCTTGTTGGCATGGTCTGCTGTGACGATGGTTGGCCTGGTGCTGTTGGACTTCTATCCGTCAGCCGTGCAAGTGTTGCTGGTGGTGGCGGGAAATGCCTTGGTCGCGTTGGTGACCTTTTTCCTGGGCTTTCGCCAGCTTCCAGCAACACCAACGCCCGAACCACTCCTCCATTGGAATCCAGAACTTCCTCGTCGTGGAATGGGCGACCTCATCCGCAGTGTGAACCACATCGCCATCATTGTGTCAGATGTAGGCCGGTCCCTCGCATTCTACACGGAGATCATTGGATTTCAACAAATCCAAAGGCCTAACTTTGACCGTCACGGTGCGTGGCTGACCATGGGAAACCTTGAGCTGCACTTGATCAAAGGAGTGCCAAATGCCCCAAGTGGTCGGGATCTGATTGTCTCGCACATCGCACTTGAGACAGATCATCCGGAGAAGGTATTGGAGAAGCTCTTGGAATTTGAGGTGCCCTTCAGGCAGAATATCTCAGTCCCAGATCCCAAGAAAGCCAGAGACAACTTGGTGGAAGCTTTTGAGAACAGTGAAGGCAAGATCACGCAGTACTTTGTCCGGGATCCTGATGGCTACTACCTTGAGCTTTGCAACTGTGACGTCCTTACAGCTTTCTGCCTCTTCAAGGAGACCGCAAAGGTTGGCCACACCCCGAAGTACCTGCAGCTCATGGATGCCATGCTTCGCACTTACAATGAGTCCGGTCAAATGAAAGCATCGCCGTTCCGCTTTCCTCAGCTAGCCAAGACAGCCTTGGTTGTGCATCGGCTTGTGCGCAAAGTGCGTGCTGAGTTGTGCAAAAGCTTCGAAGAGCGCGTGAACACTGCACTCAACGGCGTCGAGGCCGCAGCTGAACCAGACCCGAAGATGCTCGCACGCTTCTTGGCCCGACAGAAGACCTACTGTGACATTTGCCAGGGGTTTTCAGATGAGGCTTTGGCTGCAGCCCTTTGCAAAAGTGCAAATCATGCTCCAACTGCTTTGTTGCTACTTTCAGCTAGCCGGGCAGATGTGCGCATTTGGATGCCGCCGGTGTACTTTCTGAGCGAGGGAGGTCGGATCCAACAGCAGGTCATGGCTGTTGCGGCACCCCCGCGCAGGAACTTCGGCTCGTGCAGCGTGTTTGCCTCCAAGCCTTTTGAGGATGCCAACGGCAGGAGCTTGCGCCAGAATGTGGGCGACTTGTTGACAGGATTTTCAGCAGGTCGCCTGGTCGAGGCCACGAACTCATGCAAAGGCCGAAACTCAATTCGCGGCATGCTGTCGCTGGGCTTTGAGAACGACCCAGTGATGCAGGACTACCTTCAGAAGAGCTCCAGGTTTTCCTGCCATCAGACTCAAGAGACTGAGATTTGCGTCTAGGAAGTGTAGCTCAAGTGCAAAGCAATATGAGCCACAATGAGAACCCGGGTAGATGAAGGTTAGTAAGGGATAGTCCCAACCATAAATGGGTGTAGCCGCCTGCATAATTCTTTACATGGTTCTGGGTAGACTTTGTCATGCCATGTTTTGATTATGACTCATATGCACAGCATGAGGTTTAGGAGATGGCTTTGGTGCAGTAAGTCTTGGTGAATCCGTTTGCTGTCTATTTGCAGCCAGTCTTTCCGGACGCCAAGCAGTTCCAGCTGTCGTGCACGTCGCGCACAGCTCTTCCCCAGTGGCGTTGCTACGCCGCAAACCTTTGCGTGCGCGCGCTCGCAGTTTCAGCTCAATTAGACCACCGCTGTGTCCAGTGTCACACGCAGCTTTTCCCCTAGGGGTCTGGTGGCCTCAGATTTTGGCCACCAGCCTCTGGATGCCAAGTTCCCAGCTTACGCACGTAGCTGAAGCTGATCGGCGATCAGAGCCGAAAGACGCCCTGGCGTTGTGCTTGCTCGCCGCATGCAGGCGGACACTCGAGAGCAACACGCAGAGCAACACGCGCCGTTTTCTCGTCTCGCGGTTTGCCCCAGAGCTGCATGCCGCATGACCCTGAGGCGGGCGTCATTGACGTGGGCTTGGCCGGCGGCGTCGAAAATATGAGCATGCGACTTGTCACAGGCGTCAAATGCATGTCCAGCAGCACAATCTTGACCCCTGGCTCACGTCAACACATAGAGGGCCACAAAAGGGAAGCGAACCCCAGCTGAGGTTCCCGATGATGGCTACGATTGACATCACCAAGCTCTCTGCCAAGATCCTTGACTATGAAAACGCGGAGGCTAGGGGACTTCGAGTGTGCCGGGGTCGGAGGTGGTTTTCCTTGTGGTGTCACGCTTCTGATCCCTCCTTTTGAACAACCCAGCCAGTTCGGACGTTTTAAACAATGGGGCTCCAAAGACAAGCTAGAAATCAAAGTGGCAGCATGGTACTGGAGGCGTTGTGTAGTGGCCCAGATTGCCTTTTGGCCTTTTCGGCAAGTTTGTCAGATCGTGGAATCCCGATCCACTTTGTACCCTTGGCATATCAACAGGATCTGGCGATGGGAGCTGCTCTGGAGACGGAGGTTGCGATTGGCTTTGCCAGCTGTCTTTCAAACCCTCCGATCGTAAGCTTCCATGTTTTTTCATAGACACCTTTTTCGCCTCTTACCCTGGGTTCCCTGCTGAAAAGAACAGGAATACCCGGTTTCTTGTTGGAACGAGGATACTGCTGACCCCGTTGTTTGTTTGCTTTTTTTGGGGGGAAGATGTCCACCCAAAAACGATCCGGACCAAAGGGGTTGTTGCCCCCAAATCAAAATCGACCAACGGCTTCTGCTCATCAGACCCTAAGCATCCTAGAACCATTTGTTAGAAACCAGCTAGCGCCACCCAAGTTCAACCAACTGGGTTCCTATTTGGCAAGGGTTTAGGGTTCCAAAAACAAGTACCCTCAGGTTTGTCTTTCAGCCAGTGCTGGCCCTGACTTGCTCTTTTAAGCGCGGTGCGGGGGCCTTCCACCTTCAACCTGCATGGCGAGGCAAAAAAGCGGGCCAGCAACAGCACATGAGCACAGTGTGCTTTGTAGTTAGTTTGGCTGTGTTGGTCTGGCTGCGAGAGACCTCGGATTGGCCACAAAGAGTCCACATATGTTTCTTGCCACTAAACTGATCTTCCAAAAAAGTAAGAAGTTCAGGCTCTCAGAATTGGGTGTTTGATTGGGGTTAGGGTCTTCAGAATGTTTCGAGGTTCCCGGCTTCAGGCGTGCCTGCTGCCCATGGGCCTCACCAGCGAGAATGTGGCCGCGGCCTACGGCATCCCCCGAGAGGTCCAAGATGCCATGGCGGCGGACTCCCACAAGAAGGCCTGAGTCCGGAGACGGGGCACTCAGATGGACATAGATGGACGTGGAACAGCTCTCCAGCGTCCCTAGTGGTTTTTTTGGTGGAGAGTTCCACAGGGTGCCCAAAAGGAGAGCATGTTTGCGAAATCAACATGTTGAATCAGCGACTGCGATTTTGGCCCGGCGGCGCAGGTAGGAAACCCACTGATGGTGTTGACCCAAAAGGAAAGCGCAAGAACACCAAAACGGAAAACCAACAGAGATTGGGCAATCGAGTACTGTTCCAAGCCTTTTCAACACCCAGGAAAAGGCAAGGAACACCTGGGGAAAGCGCAGGGAGAGCCGAGCCAGGCAGGGGAAGGGAACACGGTCTTGTCTGGGGAAGGGCTGAAACCTTTGGGTGCGAAACATTACCCACAAGTGTATATTGTCCCAAAGGAGAAATTAACAGGGGACGGCAATGCGCATTTTGCCGATTTGTCCACACCCGGCAAGCAAAAAGCAAAGGGAAAGCTGAGCCGGGATCCCGTCAGGTCTTTTGCAACCTTTTTTGTCCATCCTGCATGGTTTGAATGGTTTGAATGTTCCCCCAAGTGCACGGAACATGTCACCAGAGCGCACGTGCCAACTCGCAGGCCCTGGAAGCCCAGAAGAACGGGTGGTTCAAGGAGGAGATCGCGCCAGTGACCGTGGAGACCAAGAACAAGGCCCAGCCTGCGACCGGTTGCCATCGAGTGAACTGGCGGGCGTGGGGCAGGTTGCGGGGTAGGGAGATAGGTGCAATAATTGGGTGTCCCGGATTTTGCAATCTCCCGGCACCGCGCCAGCGGCACCTTCTTTGCCAAAGAAGCGGGCCACGCCTCAAGCCCCTCGCTACTTCTGAATGCAATCCGCTAGTTTTGTAGTTTTGCCGCCGATGCTAAGCTCGGCAAGTCCCCCGAAAATCTGTGGATTCCACACCCCTCACTGGCACATGGGGCTTCAGGTATGGGGCCAGCTGGCCTCAAGGAGGCGAGTACAAGGAAAGTGGGCGCACACCACTGCACATTGTTAAGGTTTGATATAGGCAACACTTCGGCCTTGGGCTACCACTGCTTTGAGGCATGAAATTCTCAGGTTCCACCAAATTCGACAGCCGGTTTCAAAGGCCCATCACTCAGGACAACGATTATTTGGCTTACCGGCCCATTTGCCTGCAAAGTGCGCTGTGATCTGACAAGCTTTGTTGCATCTGGCGCATCTTCCATACTGTTTGCTCGGGGCAAATGAGCATGTTCGGTCGTTTGTCCGCTTTTCTTTCAACAAAAACATGAGGAAACAACTAGCTTGCCTATTTTCCTTCATTTCTGAAATACTTGTTTTCAGTGTTGTCCGTGATGAGACATGACCTAGCCCACGAAGAAGGTCGGCAGGATACAGTGTGGCAGCGCACACACTTCCAAAGTGTCGCGGTCAGTTTTCAACGGAATGATATGCGTATTCAATATGTTTGTCAGTTTGTCAGTTTGTCAGTTTGTTTGTTTGTTTGTTTGTTTGATGTTTGTTTGTTTGTTTGTTTGTTTGTTTGTTTGTTTGTTTGTTTGTTTGTTTGTTGTTTCGTTTGTTTGTTTTGTTTGTCTGTTTTGTTTGTGTGGTTGTTTGTTTGCTTGCTTGCTTGCTTGCTTGCTTGCTTGCCTGCCTGCCTGCCTGCCTGCTTGCTTGCTTGCTTGCTTGCTTGCTTGTTCTTTCGTTCGTTCATTTGGCCATTCACTTTTTATTTGTTTGTTTGTTTGCTTGCTCGTTTGTGATTGCGTGTTTTGTGTATTTGCACGATTGTTTGTTTGTTAGTTGGTTTGTTTGTTTGGTTGCTGGGTTGCTTGGTTGGTAGTGTGCGTGCGTTGAGTAGGGGCGCGCGTGGCTTGGAGCCGTACGCGGCCAGCTTTGGTCAGGATGGCACGGTGAAGACTCAAGTGGTGGACACGGACTCCGGCCCCCGGGCGGGCGTTTCCCGGGAGAGCCTCGCG